TATATATATATATATATATATATATATATATATATATATATATATATATATATATATATATATATATATATATATATATATATATATATATATATATATATATATATATATATATAAATATATAAATATATAAATATATAAATATATAAATATATATATATATATATATATCAAGAAGTTTGTCAATCAGGTAGGAAATATGATACTGTACACAAACCAACTATATATATATATATATATATATATATATATATATATATATATATATATATATATATATATATATATATATATATATATATATATATATAAACCGAATAAAAAATAACTACATGTGGCGTGCTGACCCGGGTTGAAAATTAACCCGGGCTCGTGTAAAGGGGGCCTTAACGGCATCCGGCCTTGTAGACATTGACACAAGTTATTGTAATGGCGACATCGCCATGCTACACGGAAATGAACCTTATATATATTTTACAGATATTTGATTATTATATGAACATACAGTTTAAACTATCGTTCGTTCACAAGGCTCAAATAGGTTTAAAGTCTACATTTTGTCTGCATGCAGCTACTGTCGGTATCCTGACTTATTGCCTATAGGCTACTATACGGTTCTAATGTTTAGCCCCATTATACCGACACAGTAATCTGTATACTTCCACTATATTCTGCGTATAAGGTAGACGTTTTCATACATGGCAACCAAACGAAGTACAGGTTATTGATTAAATTGGCACTTGATGTTGTGTTTTTCAGGAATACTCTCTTCAATAAATGGTTGTGCAGATTATTTACCAATTACTTAGGACTGAGAAAGAGATAAATCTTGTTCGAATCGCTATTTTGCCTGGCTGAATCACATTAAGCTTTCACACGAAAGCGATCTTCGTATTTTCAACTTGTAAAATATCCTCATTTTGATGGAAAAATCGTGAATATACGTGTTTAAACTAGCCTTCAAACCTGGCAGAACTACATGAATATGGTGGAACTTATATACTTTCTTCCATAAGGAGATTTTGGAGGACTTTAGCCGTTTTTGAGACCCCCATGCCAAGAATCGTCAGCTTCATTGTAATTGTTACTGACAACTAAATTCAATTTTTCAATTGTGTAGAGGTAGGGTACATTTAACTTCAACCTTTTTATAAATCATTGGAGACGCAATTCATTGCAAGTTTAAACTTCATGTAGGCATGCCATGGAAAGAGGGAGCGAGTAGTTTGAAAACATACCGTGTGAAAGTGTGAGTCTATTTTAAAATACAGGCTGCTATTCAAAAGTCTGACAAGCAAATTATTTGGAGCTCTTATCAATGCATGAATTTTCACCCAATCTGATTAGAAGATTCACATGCGTAGGCCTATATGCATGTGTTGACTTAATTCATTGTGGCCGCCATATTAATAAAAAACGTCTACACAGCGTACTACAGCCACTTCCTATCATAAACATCTACAGAATCAGTTTTTTCGTCCGGGACATCAATATATTCAGGTTCATCCCAGTTCGACCACATTTTGTGATTAAAATTATATGTCCAAGGTAACGTGGTTTGCTCAATTGACTTTTCAGTTGGCTGCAAATTAACCCAGTCAATGTAGTCATGATCAAAAATATTATGATGTTCGTTGTCTAGATGGCGTTGTCTTCCTGCCGAGGTAATTGGAGCTGTCGTTGGCCTATAGTTAAGCATGATGGCTATTAACTTCTCCTTTTCAGTGTGACTGTTTCTTTTCTCTTTCGCATTATCTGGTGTTGGAATAATGGGAAATACTTTCTTCATATATCGTCTTGTCATTCTAACTGGATCTTCCATGATGTAGTCTTCAGACTTTTCAGTATCATCATCAGTGGGAATATTCTCCATCATTTTTGTACTCATGTAAAATCCACTGTCGGCTGTCGTATCTTGTTCATTTTTGTAGGGAGCTGTTGGTTTCAGTGTGTATGGAGAAACGAACGTGTATTTTGCTAAAAAATACGTTTTAAAATTGTAAGTTCAAGATCGAATATTCGCTACAGTTTCATTGTTTCTATTTTTGCAATTTGCAGTTTTCCAATAATAATTTCACCTCAATACCGGATAAAAGAAGTACCATGCTAAGGATTATTCTAAGAAAATATTACAATTCTATCAAATTAGGAAATCTGAAAACAATAAAATATCTATATATTGAATGGGTTTTAAAACAAAATTCAAGATCTTCGATTTATTTTCACATCTTCTCAACATCGAATAACAATATTACTGGAATTAAAAAGATCTTATAATATATGGTATAATACTGAAAAAGTGGACATAACAGAAAAATTGTGCGCATTGAGTTGCTTATACTGCCGATCCAATTGGAAATAAAATTCCAATTGCAACTGCAAGTGGTAACTAATCCAGCTTATAGGATAATCCCTATACCATGAGTAACAATAAGAAACAAGAACTCTTCAATAAAACTGATAATCCAATATAGTCTAGTATACTGTATAGTTCACCAACCTGTTTTGTTGCAATGTTTCTTGGTGCAGTTCCACATGTTTCCATTACATTTGCTGCAATATTGAAAGCAACTGTTAATTCTTGAACAAAGGCCGGGCACCCCTACGCAAGACTAAAACTACTCTTTACAATAACGATATACTATTACATTTATATTTTCTACTAGAAATACATGCATGCAGTAACCCCTCGCCGATATTTTCCAAACATTAAATTAACATGAAGTATTCAGAAATGGCCGACACTGAACGCAGGCTCGCGCTCAAGTGTTGCCATGACAACACGATATCTTTTAAAAAAGAAATGGCCGACACTGAACGCAGGCTCGCGCTCAAGTGTTGCCATGACAACACGATATCTTAAATTTTTAATTTTTTCATATTTTTGTACAAAACTGCAAAATAGTTGAAAGATTCGTATACTTCTAACTATACAACAATAAATTTCCGAAATATACACTGTAGGTATATTATTTTGCATTTTGCGAGCTTTGATTTAATGTAAAATTTAACTTGAAACCCTTCGTGAAATTTTTGAAATGTTCATTCAACTAAACTACATTTGCCGATAAACTGTTTTACAAACAAAACAAATTGTTAGGTAATTTTAGTTCAGTCTTCAAATCAATTTGTTAAAATTAAACGGTAATTTATGAAACTTAGAGCTTCGTTGAAAAGGAAAACAGTTCATGTTTTTAGGCAAAAAGTTAAAGCAACAAAATTCAAAGCAAACTTGCCGTATATTTCACGATTTCCCATAGTAAATCAATTCTTCTCATTTCTTCAAACAAAATTGCTTCAAGCTTGTTGGATATGAAACGATTTTCCAAATATATGTCTTTTAAAATTGAAATCTTGCTTATCCCACTCCCACAAGCAATCAGCCATATTTTTGAGATCAGTGAGGATGACCACCCACTCAAGTTCGTTGGTCACGCCCGCGATATTTGATGAACTTTAGACTTCGCTAATGCTTTCGTTTCCCCGGGTGTAAATAGCCAGGGGGAATTAGTACCCTCGCACGGCGCTTCGCGCCGTCGGCTTGGGGATTAATCTGTATAAAATTAATAGATCCTGGTTTATTTGGCAGAGCATGATAATCTTGCCATCTGTTCAGACGGACTTATATTCATATTTTTGTATTGTTGCGCGAAATACGGACATGTACGAGGTCCCGCGGGATCCCGGGAAAAAGTCCCCAAAAGTGTGCTCGAGAGACAAAAACATAGTTTTAGAGTTTTTTCGTTTTGGTTTGGTTTTGAATATATTCATGTTTTCTTTATAAAGTTTGGTAAATTTTTTGGTATATTATGAATTATTGTTGCCCCAGTCGTTAGTTGGGATAGCCCTAGGCTGGTGGTAACACCCGATCCATATTCTGGAATGTCTCTTAATAGCACAGCATCACATCACTTGATGCACACTA